TTTTTCTACTTTTTTTTTCCCTATTATATAAATATAGAACAGACTAAATTACAAAATAAGCTAAGAAGCTATTTACAAACATTATCAATTAATTAAGGACACATAAATAATTAAAGTTTTCCTACAGTATTAAGTATAAATTTAAATAGAGGCATGAAAAAAAGCTACATCAGTTAATAGATCCTGAACGCGGCGGGGAACACTTATAGAATTTTCTTCAGCGACATCACTAATTTCACTGACAAGTGTCAACCTTTGAATCTTCCTGTATAGGACAGTTATTATACTCATGCCCTGGTAACTTAAAACATTTTTTATTTATTATGAAAAGCGCCATCTATCCCGCATACATGGAACTTTTTATTGCAGTGTTACCACTCTTTTTTTACTTGGAACACTTGGTACTTTAAAATAACTGATGATTTTGATATTTTTCTTTTATTGGTCCAGGTACACAAAAATAAATGATTTAACAACAGTATAATTTATTTTAAAAATATTTTATGCTACTAGTGATATTATAATTTATATAGTATTTATTACAGTTACGATCTTAGAATCTTTAGAGTAGTTTATTGATACCAAATTTTAACAACACTGAGTCTAACTAGAAGAAATTTCTCACCGGTGTGTTTGCATAATCGTGCGCATTTTTCTTGTAATTTTTGGTGTTTTTTGTGTTACTACGTTGAGTCGAGCTTCAGTTTCTTCGTATATTCCAGAAATACCGAAATTCCGGCATAGACTGTACTTTGTGAAAGTGTTTTGGACATACATGTTGATAGGCCCTCCGTAGGGAGTTTGGACCATATATCTCAGTGTAGTGTTATTTTACATTTTACACAATGCCTTGAAATATCTTCTGTGTTCCTGGGTGCCAAGTAGTAGCAGAAGATGGTGAGTAAAGTGTGTTTTTATATTCTGAAGTTTCATAACCTCAATAGTCTTTTAAACAAATATGTGTATTCTACGCTGGCTTATATTCCACGTGCCTAATACACCATAAACTGGTTAATATGTTTTTAACAATTAAAAAGCAGTGAAAAACGACATTTCTATTTATTTAGTAAGTCAAAATTTCTAAAATACCATTAGTTTCTATAAGGTTTTTCATTTAAAAATAATAAATGCTACATGTAGGTTCTTATTCTAGAATGATGCTCAAACACAGCTTTACTTGAGAATGAATTGAGTCTATCATTTCATACAAATACGTCACTAAGATGTGCTCAAGTTGAGATCGCCGCTGAGTGTCGTTCTAGAATACGGGCCGTAGTCTGTCGGCTCAGTTAACTCATAGTAAACCTTAGAGCAAGGACTAAAACATGATAAACAATCTTGACATGTCTTTTTTGTCAATTTGCATTTAAAAGTTGAGTTTCTTGCATGTTTTTCTCTATCTGAATCTACATTTTCGAACATGCACCTAAAGTCTCAACTTTCAAAAGTCAAATCAATAGGCTGATATGGTCTAAATGAATAAATAAGATTTGACTTAGATTGAAAAAATCTCTAAACTTACTAATAAATCTAAGACAAGCCACTGACCTAACTATTACATAGAGTTCACAAGAGGGTTTATATATATTTCATTTGTAAATTCTTAGATTTTTGAAATGCAAGGTAAAGTGAAAAGACATAATTATATTATCAAGATTCTTTAACTGTAGTAAATAACCTAGACCGACAGAGAAAATGATGAAAATTAATAATTTAGTTGACTGTCCCTATGGTACAAAACGTCATCCTTGATATCAGATGATATATATGTAATTATAATAAACTCTCTCACATAAAATGTGGGTCTATACATCTGCATCTACCTACACCGCTTTAGCCGGGCTTTTGAGTTTTTGAAATTGTCTTTTATAACATTGCTAGTCTTTAGAACTCTGAACTAAGTGATCTAGAAAAATAATTATGATTAATTATTTATCAATAACTTAATTTATTTTACTATTATTAAATTACATTATTATGTATTGTAAAATAATGTAGAGTAACTTAGAATGATTAAAAATCACATTTCATTCAGGCCCATTATAGTCACTTTATTTTATTTTCAGGTGTACCTCTACATTACTTTCCATGTCCTGAGAAAGATGCAGAAAGGTTTCATAATTGGATAAAGATTATTGGAGGTGGTATTGTGAGTCTGGACAACACCTGTAAAACTCATAGAATCTGTCGTCAGCACTTTCAGAAAGAGTTTCTTTACCCAAAAAACAGGCTTTGTAAATTGGCTGTTCCATCTTTGCTTTTACCCTCTGCAGGTGTATCAGGTAAATCAGTTTTTGATTAAGTTTATTTAATACTAGCAACTGTGTTAGTTTCACACAGGTTATAAATGAATGTACAATAAAACATATATTTATTGTACATTCATTTATAACCTGTGTGAAACTAATGAATTAAGTGAATTAACCAAAAACAATATAATATGTTTTTGCAATTTGTTTTAATTACAATATATTTAATGAAAGGTATGTGGGACATATTTTTGTTAGGCAACCCGGGAGTAATGTAGGTCATAATCATTAAACATTAATTTGAATTGAGTTTCAATAAAATTTAGTACCTACATTTTCTTTATAAAAACAAAATGGCATTATAGCCCAGCGGTAAAACACTTGCATTTCATGTAGGTTATGTGAGGAACAGAATTTGATTATTGATTACTTGTCTAAAGAGAGAAGGGGGTCATTACAGCTATTTACAATCTCAAACCGAGAGAGTCTCTTAGAGATAAATTTTAAGAAATAAATATATTAACTTTGGCCTCTCAGTATCTACGAAAATTTAATGTATGTTCACAAAAACAAAGATAGTTTTAGTAAAAAAAAAAAGTGATATACATTCTGTAAACACTAGGAACAAACACCAAGCTAGTGATGCCAATTTCTCGACTCCACAGAGTCAGTAATTCATTCTTGGGGCAATGTATACGCTATTACAACAAGGTCCCGGAAAGTGTACAGGTTCTCTCTGTTACCAAGTTTAAATGTTTTATTAAACTGAAACTATATAAAAAGGGTTATTATAGTATAAACGAATACATGGTTGATAATAACCCCTGGGAATGAGGTGGTCGCTTCCAAGCAGTTTCTAAAATAAATTTTGTAAATAGTTCGTAATCATTTATATTGTAAAATTTATTTTAAAAAAAAGTCCTGCTGGCTTTCTTGCTGGTTCTTCCCAGGACAGAGGGTTTTTTTTTCGAACCAGTGGTAAAGTAAAAAATGACTTTCAATAAGAATTACACATGTAATGTATATTGAATAAAAAATTATTCTATTCTGTTCTATTCTTGCGTTAACAGTGCTGGAAAACATTGGGAGAAAACCTCCACACCTGAGAGGGCCTCATAAAGTTCTCAATGTGAGTGTAGTCCGCTAAACCACATCAGGGCAGCATGTGGACTAAGGCTTAATCCTTCTACTTCTGAGAGGCCTGTGCCTAGCAGTGGGACAGTAATGAATTATTATTATCAATATCAGTAGGCGAAAAATAATTTGTATGATGCATGTTTTATGTGACACATAATGTACACTTGGTGTGAAATGTCTCTCAACATTCTCCAGTAGTTCAGGATGCCCCAATAAAAAAAGCAAATACAATTATTTAATACTTATATATATTTAACATAAAATTATAATTTCTAGAAAGTGGGTGCTTGCCAGAGGAAAGTGTGGACACTGCACATTTGATAATGCTGTTCAACAACCTGTTCGACTCAAATTAACATAAAGAAGAAGGTAAAATATGCAGATCTGCTGTCACACCAAACTCATCCCATTTAAAATTATGGAAGAAAACATTACCCATTTTAAGGTTAATGAAGTATATAAATAATAATAGTAAAGAGGTAACTGTACCATCTCTAACCAGTTGGGTAAACACTATAGAAGGTTTTAAATTAATAACAAACAAGTTAAGGGCAGAAATTATCAATGAACATTTAAATATTGATTTAATAAATACACAACAAATTCTAGAAAGCCGTACCAAAGTTCATGTAGAGAAATGCGCGGCCATAGCTTATTGTAGTGGGTGGATAGCAATCAAAACAAAAAAGTTTATATTTAAAAAAATGTAAAACATGTCAAAATAATTTAACATAATCAAATAATGCAGATTTCCACAATTTTATAATAAAAAAGAATATTGTGGCAAAAGATGGTTATGCTATCCTACCCGGTCATTGTTTGACTTTTTTGCACCAGTAGAACACATAACATGGAATATTTTAAATAAATATGCACATGTAGAAAACATTGTTAAATATATCATGCTGTTTATATCAGTCCACATCGACTTAAATTTTATGAAATGTGAAAAACATTAAGAAAATTTAAAGAAATATTTGGTCCATAAAAGTGTTGTGTTCTTCATAATTACTTGGTGCAAAGAAGTCAGCAATATACTTAATAGCAAGAGCTATTATAATTTATGTAATGATAGTGGTGAAAATGTCTCTATTTTTCCTACGGGCTTGAGAACATTACAATAAAACAAAGGGTGCGAAACGAGAGACAAAAAGGCGTCGAAATTAATGTATTAATGTATAATTAATAAATTCATTGAATTATATATTTTTGTATTATTTATCTCATTACCTTTACCCAAATACCCAAAGATACTTAAATTTGTGTCTAAAAACATCCCTAAAAATATGCTTACTTCAAAACACTGTTTAAGTATCTAAACGACATATAAATAATATGTATAGGTACTTACGTATGAATTGCCGTTTTATTTATAGATAAAATATTCTATCTATAAATAAAACAGCAATTCATACGTAAGTACCTATACATATTGCCATATACGCAACTACGTATATATATATATATATATATATATATATATATATATATATATATTTAGTTCATTGCTTGGCGTTCAGAGGGCGCTGAACGGTAACTAAATATGAAAACTTCAGTTGCCAGTCTATCTCCAGTATTATATATTAGTCTAATTATATATTAGTCTATGATTATACTCTTTGTTTGAATCAACGCGTAGTGTTTCTATATAGTTTGTGTTTGAATCCCAAACGATGGGCACTGGAAAATTATGTGGTTTATGTCTGCATTATGTTGAGCGCAATGTGTGCATTTGTCATCAGCTACGATCTTCATTCTGTACAGATGTGCAGGGACGAGGCAATGGCCAAACCGTAGGCGGTTAATGGTCGTTATGAACTTTCGGCCTGTGTATTTAAAGCGGTTGTACCACGGAATCGTTGGTAAGTCTGGCTGTAATTCTGCGTACCATTTTCCCTTATTCACGGTAGTAATGTTCCAGTAATCCTTCCACAGTTTCTTTGACAAGATTTTAAAGTGTTGATAATAATCTGTGAAGGGGACTTTACAATCTTGTGTTTGGTCTTCGTGGTGATCTTGCCGCGTCGCCTGATCCACTATCTCATTTCCGACTATGCCACTGTGTGAGGGAACCCATAAGAATTCTATACATTTTCCAATCGTTTGCAGCTTATCCTTAATTTTATACAAAATATAATTCTGTTTATATACTAAATTACAGTTACATAAAGCAGATAAAACACTTTTAGAATCACTAACTATCAAGATATTTACACTATTTACATTGGTATTTACATACGACAAAGCAGCTAATATAGCCCAACTTTCTGCTGTAAAAATACTACAATTACTTGGCAACTTAATACATTTAATAACTTTCATTTGTGGGTCATAAAATGCTGCTTTAACAAGATCACTCTTGGAGCCATCAGTATATATAGTGTAAAAGTCTTTCTTTTCATTTAAAAATTCTAAGAATTCATTCTTAGTACTAACCGAATTTAAATGACATTTTATATCAAGATAATTAAGTAATGTATCATATGGGCATTTGTAAATAGGCCACTTGTTACTGATGTACATATCTCTTGTCTGATTCTTTACACAAGTTGTTATTGTTGTTATTTCAGGCAATGTACCCGAAATAAGAGTATTAGCTGAGATGTTGGCTGTTCCATTTAACTGGGAGACTTCTGCAGGATATAAAATATTACTCAGGACAATATCATTGTTACAAGACAACTCCTTCAAACAGAATCTTTCAGCTAACTGTAAACGCCGCAAGGACAATGGAGGTATGCAATTTTTAACTTCCATAGAAACAATAGGAGTGGTGCGCATGGCTCCACTGATTATTCTCAGACCCATATTCTGTATCACATCCAATTTTCTTAACAATGTGCTACTAATATTCATGTAAGCTAGAGAGCTATAGTCAAAGTGACTCCTTACAATACTTTTATACAGCATGCTAAGTGTTTTTGGATCAGACCCCCAAAAGGTTCCTGCTAAGCTTCTTAGTACATTTATGCTCTTCATGGCATTCTGACAGATATAGTTGATATGCTTATCAAATTTCAGTTTATCATCTAGCACAACTCCTAAAAATTTATGATGATTGGCTATAGGAATTGTATCATTATTATAGTTAATTTTAATTCCAGAGTTTACAAATGTGTCTTTACTGAATACTAAAACTTTACTTTTCTCAGAACTTATTTCTAATTTTAAAATGTTGCTATAATAAAGATGCAATTGTGCCAATGCAGTATTAATTCTATTAATTGCTGTATTTATATTCTGGTTTTCACTGTATAAAAGTAAGTCGTCTGCAAACTGTAATATTTTAACTTGTGATGTATCTACATAATTAAGTATCTGAGATGTGTATAAATTATATAACAAAGGTGAAAGTGTCGCTCCCTGCATTGTTCCTTTGTTAACAGGCCTAGGTCCATGTAGTTTATTGTTAAATTTAACAAAAAGAGTCCTATCATGCAAGAAATTTAAAATCCAGATTAATACATTTCTTGGCAAGCTCAATTCATGCAAAACTTTTATGAGGCATTCAATATTAACATTGTCAAAGGCACCTTTAACATCTAAAAATACACATATAACATTAGAATGACTAAGTTTGGCCTTTTTAAGTTCCGATATCAGAGATACAAAGCTTTCAGAGCAACTTCTGCCTTTTCTGAATCCAAATTGTATGTGAGGTAGTTTATCCTGTGTTTCAGCAAAATAATCTAGACGCAACTTTAACATGTTTTCAAAAAGCTTACCTAAACATGATGTCAAAGAAATAGGTCTGTATGATGATGGATCATTAGCAGCTTTATTTGGCTTTAAAATGGGGATTACACATTGGGTTTTCCATGACTCTGGTATAGCTAAATTATTCCAAAGTTTATTATAAATATTTAATAACATTTCTTGCGCATTAGGATGTAATTTTTTTATTAACATATATGGTATGCTGTCCAACCCTGGTGTTGTATCTTTCCTACTTTTGAGTGCTATGTACAATTCATTTAGTGTGAATGGTCTATTGAGAAATGAGTTACTTTCATTTTCAACAGATTGATCTAAAATATCATTCAAATAATCTTCATTTAACTGTGATGAGTCTGTTATGTTGTCTAAGAAGCTTGGTATCCAATCGTCAGCCAAATATCTGTTATGAGAAGAACCTATCCTTCTAAACCTTTTCATGTAGTTCCATATTCGAGAAATAGGTGTCATTCTATTAAAACTAGTACATAAATTGTGCCATGAATTAATACTTTCTTCTTTTAATATCCTTTTCTTTTGAGCATCAAGTTTTTTGTAGTTAATGAAATTAGGAATACTAGGCGATTTTCTATACTCTTTGAGGGCTTCCTTAGACTTTCGAACAGCATCATCACATGTTTGGTTCCACCAGGGTGCAGGTTTTCTCATTACCCTTAAAGTTTGTTGTGGTGTTTGCTTTGGAACAGTCTCTGCTCTAATATCATACAAAATATTTACAAAATTATTATACAAATCAATAGGTTCGGTACCATGTATTTCTAAATTACAAAATCTCGTTTCTGATAGTTCTTGATATTTAGACCAATCTGCTTTATTATAAATGTATTTTTCTTCCGCAGGACGCACTTCATATACAGAAGGCTTCACATTTAGAGCGACCACAGTTGGGTAGTGGTAACTGCCCATCGGGTCGTCATGGATGTGCCATTCACAAAGAGGAGCTAATGCGGAACTAACCAGAGCTAAATCTATTGCCGACTGATTTCTGTTAGGATACTGGACAGTTGTAGCTATGTCACCATCATTCAGAATACACAAGTCAAAGTCATCAATAAGTGCATATAAACTGTTACCTCTATTATTATTTGTCTGACATCCAAACAGGATATGGTGAGCATTAAAATCTCCCATAATAAGACATGGCTTAGGAGTTTCTAGTAGCACCTTTTTCATTTTGCTTGTAGCAGACCTGCTGCTATTGGGAGGACAATATACACATAGAATATGTAACTTACCCATAGTTGTGTCTACGGAAATGCAAATATTTTGCACAGATTCGAAAAAAGTTGTATTTACAATAGTGTATTTTAAGTTTTGTTTAATTAATATACCTACTCCGTTATGTTCATTTACTGAGTTTTTGTGTATAAAATTATAGGGTGAAAAATCGGGAATTGTACTAGTTGTTTTAAGCCAGGTTTCATTTAAGAGACAGATATCTATATGTTGTTCCGAAAGAAATTTTTTAAGTAAGGCCCTTTTGCTCTGTAAGCTCTGTATGTTATATTGTGCTATATTCAAATATGTATCCATTATGTTATTAAATTACTTAAAAGTATGTCTTTAATTCTTTTATTTGTAATCGGAGCGCTGCTCTTGTCATTGCCAAGCATAACTAATGATTTGACTAGCGCATTAATAATTAACTCGTTGTTTAGTATTTGCTCAGCATTATATGATACTTTATTTATGTCAGTATCAACAGTCTTTACAGGTTTAAGGTTTGGGAATGCTTTCGGGTCGGGCATTGCTGGGATACTCACCACAGTGGCATACGATCGGTTTGGTTTTAAATACTTATTCTTCTTCTCTTCCATCTTTTGTTGCTTCACTGGACAGTTCCTAGAGATGGCCAAGTGACCACCATGACAGTTGATGCACACAATTTCTTCGACGTCGCATTCTTTGTAGGAGTGTTGTCCAGAGCACGAAGAACACCTTTGAGAACCTCGGCAGACTTTTGCAGAGTGATTAAACTTCAGGCATTTGTAGCACTGTAGTAACGGAGGTATGTATATGTGGACCGGGTATCTGAACATCTGTATGTAGGCGTGCTGCGGCAGCGCTGTTGCAGCGAAGGTCACTGCAATGGTCCCCAGCGGAGTGAGCTTTCCATCTACCTTTCGCATAAATCTCTTGACGGAGATGACTTCTGCATCGCAGGTAATGCTTTTGTATATGTCTTCATTGCTTAAGTCTTTAGGTACGTATCTTATGACTCCAGTAATTTCAGTGAGGTGCGCCGGCACGAACGCTTTCAATTTGTGTTTTCCTAGAAAGTGTGTCATGGTAAGGAAGTTATTGGCCGGTGCTGGTTTTCTGAACGTTATGCCCACTTTATATGCGTTCACTCTGTGGACGCCAGCGATTCCTTTTACATTTTCCGTAAATACTTTGTAAGTGCTATTGGATTTTTGTTACCGATTTTTTCCTTTTCTTGTGATTCAACGTAGACTACGCAGTCTACGCTGTGGTTTTCTGGGAATTGTCGCGTGTAATTTGTTTTTGTGAAAATTTTGTAGTCGACGGCATTTCCTTTGCAAGTATCATGCAATTTCCTTTTCTTTGATTCTTGCTCGGCGGGGGCCGGGCCCCCGTCGGAATCTGGACCCATTGTATTTACACTATATATAGGTATGTACTAATTAACTATTTACACGGAAATTTACAACAAATATACAAAATAAAAAGAAATGAAAATTCAGCAAAAATTAAAACACCCGCTTAGCTTGATTTCCCGCCGAAATTCCAGTGACATTTTATTTTAGCTAGTGTTGGCATAACATTAAATGGAATTGTTACATAGTACTATGATTGAGATAATGTATTATTGTAGGAAATTCTTTGTAAGAGACTTATTCTCAGCCATATTACCTTTATTTTTGTTATTACTGATAGTACATTTATTACTTATAATAATATAAAATATTTTATGGGTTGTGTTGGTAGTGTTACAAAGTGTATACGAAAATAGTAGGAATATACTAAATGGCAACATTTGAATAGAGTAAGATGATTTCAGTGGAGTTTTGGCGGGAAATTGACCGGCGGCGGTTTGCTGCTCCTGTATTATTGTTTAAATAATGGTTTGAAGTGGACTTTGATATGTAAAAGTGTTGCGATTTTGTGTATTAAGTGTCTACGCATGTGAACTATTAGTGGAAACAGTGAAACAAGTGCTCTGATGGTGATGGATTCTCAAGATAAGCTGTTTGTTTGCATAGGTACCTTTAGATACCATCGCCAACTATCAGCTGTCTGCTGGATCAAGTTGCCGCCAAAATCTCCCAAGAACTGCACAATGTGACGCATCAACATATTGTGAAGCAGTATACTATGAAGGAGTGAGGAAATTACAATAAACCGAATAAAAATACTTAAGACTTGGCCTAAAGGTCTAGATACCAGGCCATAAACTCCAAAAAAAAAAAATGATTGCAGTCATTTGATATTCCCAAAAATGTTTGTTTTTTTCTGTGGCTTTAATTAAAATACATTTTTATTTGAAAAATCATAGAAAAGTAATACAACTCATTTTATATATAACTTATTTCTAGACGCTATAATTTTTGTCAACTATTTTTCTGCCATTGCTTTTTTGGTTATGGGTTGGTTTAGGGAACCTTTTAGCTTAGAGGTCGTCTATGTGATTGTGTAGGGGATGTTGGTGAAATTGGGCATGAGAAATTTGTAAAGATGCTAGTGTGCGTGAAAAATTATTGTATATGCCGGCAGCTTAACTATTACCCGATTAACGGGAAAATTTATTTTATGCTATGGCTTAGTAGTTAAGTTCATAGTTATGAATGTATTCCAGAAATACTTATAAATGAATAGTTTAATAAAACGAATGTATCAATATATTTGTGTATATTATGTATAGGTTTTTCTTCTGAATAAATGACATATAAATGATAAGGCCTCATTTTTCTCTCTTCCCCTCTCCTCCTCAGATAATCCTATAATATTGCAGCGCAAATTATCTATCTCTTCCAACTCCAGGATCTCCTCGTCAGTCGTCAGGGTACGTGCGTTAAATGTAGCCAGGTGGAGTCGTCTTAGTTGGCAACCAAAGCTCCACCGGAGATCCTTAGCTGCCCCGCCGTTGCCATGATTGCCACCGTAACCAGCATATTTACCGTGCCGGCTACCCGCGATCCACAGCTGTCACACGGTTTTTATTCTGAATTGCCGCTCGAGTAGTACACAAGTCTTTGACTTATATAGAATTTAACAAAAAGTTCAAACAATCGTGAAGATACATTTCACTTTACAACAACACCTAACTACACAAAGCCTCTGCAAGAAAACTGCCTTACAGTACTTAAACATTTCCTTCATTAGCGTAAGATAATCTATAAGATCAAAGTAAACCTGAAATAAAAAAAAATAGTAGTGAAGTAAGTTTCTTTCACTTTAATTTATAGTTAGCTGCCACGGCAGGAGTTTAATGTTTCAGTTTCACTCCGAATTCAGTCTGGACATTTTACAGTGTAAATATGAAATGAATTAATAACTCGACTACAAAAGCCATCTTGTACAGAATAATAGACCGAGTAGAAAAACCTTTACGTGCCTTGTATTGTGCTAATTGAAACTGCATTTATTCTGAAGAAGCTGATTCAAAAACCAAAAAAATTGAACTTTAAAATATGAAACAAATGGGAGGTTAGTGGAAACAGACCAGACCATGTTTTTTTTTTTATTTAATTGATTGTTAATGTTTATCCTTTTTTTCGTTACGACGCTTATTTTGTTATTGTTAGCGCCTATTAAAGTCGACTGCTGAACATAGGCCTCCCGCATATATTGCCTCATAGGGGGATATTTGCCATAGTTGCCACGCTTGGCACGCGGGTTGGCAACACAATTTTTATTTTTATTTTAGTAGGAATACGCTGCTGCACGTCTTCTGATTTGTTTCTTTCTGTCGCCTCTACGACACACACGGAATGATAAGGGGTAGTGGATATTCTGATATCTATCATCATCATCATCATCATTACAGCCCTTCACAAGTCCACTGCTAAACATAGGCCTCCCCCAAGGAATGCCACAAAGCACGGTCCTGAGCCACCTGCATCCATCGACTTCCTGCATATCTTACCAGGTCGTCACTCCATCTAGTGGGGGGACGCCCTACACTTCGTCCGCCGGAACGAAGCCGCCACTCGAGAACCTTTTTTCCCCATGGGCTGTCGGTTCTTCGAGCTATATGGCCGGCTCATTGTCACTTCAGCTTACTAATCCGTTGGGCTATGTCGGTCAGTCTAATTCTACTGCGGATAGATAGATAACACTTTATTGTACGCCAAAAAATAACAAAAATATTACTAAAAAGTGAGAAAAAGAAATGTGGTACAACGGGCGGTCTTATCGCTAAGAGCGATCTCTTCCAGACAACCTTTGGATGGACGGCATTGCAAGAAAACAATAAAAACGTGTGTGGTTTGCTGAAAATATAACATTATTTTTATTAAAGCCATAAAATAAAAATATATAATTTCTAAGTTTATCACACAGAGAAACTCCGAGCATAGCCCTCTCCATAGCTCGCTAAGTGACTTTGAGCTTCCTCATCCGGCCAGTAGTGAAGGACCACGTCTCAGTACCATAGGTCATCACGGGCAACACGCACTGATTGTACAGTCTCGTTTTCAAGTTTTGAGGTATACCTGACGAGAAGTGTGCCGTAATTTGCCGAACGCTGCCCAACCGAGTTGAATCCGTCGATTGACCTCTCGGTCGAAGTTGGACTTACGTAGTCGGACTATTTGTCCCAGGTAAACATACTCGTCAACAACTTCGAGCTTAGTGCTCCCAACAACTACCGGCATATGTGTGACATGGACATTAAACATGATCTTTGTTTTGTCCATGTTCATCTTAAGACCTATCCGTTGGGAAACACTATTGAGGTCATTGAGCATAGTGCTTAGGTCCTACAGCGGTTCTGCCATAAGGACTATATCGTCGGCAAATCGAAGGTGAGTGATGTACTCGCCATTGATGTTAATACCGTATCCTTTCCAGTCCAGAAGCTTGAAAACGTCTTCCAATGCAGCGGTGAAGAGTTTCGGGGATATAACGTCACCCTGTCTTGCAATTCGATAGGTTTCGTACTCTGGATCTGTACTCGGATAGGCATCGTAGCCCTACTGTACAAACACTTCAGCACTTCGATATACCGACAGTCAACTTGGCATCGCTGAAGGGACTGCAGCACCGCCCAAATTTCTACGGAATCAAAGGCGTTCTCATAGTCCACATACGCCAGACATAGTGGCAAATTATATTCCTCGGACTTCTGTACAATTTGCCGAAGGGCATGTATGTGGTCTATGGTGTTAAAGCCTTGTCGGAAACCGGCTTGTTCGAGAGGCTGGAAGTCGTCAAGTCTGCGCGCGAGACGATTCGTAATGACTCTCGAAAATATCACGTAGACGCGGCTCAGAAGGGAAATTGGTCTGTAGTTCTTCAAGAGAACGTTGTCACCTTTCTTGAAGAACAAGACCACCGCACTTCTGCTCCACGCCTCCGGTGTAATGCCACCATGGAGGACAGAATTAAAGAGCTTCTGAAGGACTTAAGTACCTGTTTTCCACCCGCATTTTTTTATAGGGTAAAGGTGACAAACGAGCACGCAGTCCACCTGATGGTAAGTGGTTGCTGTGGCCCATAGACATCTTCATCTATCTTCGATTAAAAATCAAAATGCAGATGCGTTGTCACCCGTGAGGACTAAGATGTAATGACTCGTTTCCAGTAAAAAGGGTCTCCGGTTCTCTACACTCACCATATAAAACACAGCAGCGTTAAGCTGCTATTTTACGCTGGTATTCTGTGAGAGCGTGGTCCTTCCCCGGTCGAGCCGACCCATTCGTGCTACAACTATACTACTAATATAGCTGCAGCATGGCTCTACCACGTATAAAAGCGCTTTCAGAAGCTCCGCTGTAATTCCATCTTCGCCTGGGGCCTTGCCGTTTTTAAGATGCTGGAGAGCTATTCTAATCTCGCTCAGACTGACGTCCGGGATATCATCGGAATAGTGTCGGATAAGACTCGCTCTTGGATCGTTACTCACACTTGCGTGCGGCTCTAACGATGATGTGTACAGCTGCCCATAGAACCTCTCAATCTCACTCAAAATCTCAGGTGTCCCACAAACGACGCTGCCACACTCGGTCTTCAGCTTCGACAGTTGGCTCTTTCTGGCAGACAGATCTCTAGCAAAGACTTTGGAGCCCTGGTTCCGCTCGATCGCTTCTTTAATACAAGCTGTATTGAAGTTGCGTAAGTCCCGCCGCTTGCATTTGGAGATCTGTCTGTTCAGTTGCCTGTATGCTGTCAAATCTGTTGAAGAATGTAGCTTCATATCCCGTCTAACAGCCATGAGATTAAGAGTGTGATCGGAGAGTTTTTGTGTTCTTCTGCGGCGGGTCTCGCAAAACTTAGCTCCGACCGCATGGACAGTTTCCACGAGCTTGTCATTGATATCGTCCACTTCATTGCAGTCTTCTAGGCACTGAAAACGGTTTTGTAACTCGAGCTGAAAGGTTTCGGGACTTTGGAATAGAGCACGAGGAGGACAGAGCGTTGACTTCATTAGACGTGACCTCTCCAACTTAACGTTTAGGTTCAGCCTGCCTCTCACCATTCGGTGATGGCTGCCAGTTTTCATCCTCAAGATCACTGAGACATCACTGAACAGTTGTCGTCTGGTCTTCATAATAAAGTCAATCTCATTTTTGTCGAACCGTTGGGGCTCGACCAGGTCCACTTCCTGTCGGGCCGCTTCTGGAAGAAAGAGTTCATCATAAAGTGTCCCTCTTTCTCCATGAAGTCGGCCAGCTGCTGGCCCCTTGGGTTCCGTAGCCCTAATCCGAAATTCCCTACCTTCAGCTCACCGTTCTCTCTTGTGCCTAGTTTTGCGTTGAAGTCTCCCATTAACACCGTATAGTGGGTTTTGGAGGAATGCATGGCTCTAGAGATATCCTCATACACTTCCTCCACCTCCTCATCGGGGTGTGCCGAGGTTGGTGCGTAAACCTGTATGACCTTCAGCGAATACCGTTTGGTGATTCTGAGTATAAGGTACCCCTCGTCGACACACTCCCGATCTTTACAACGTTGTTAACGAGAGACTTGTGGACGATAAATCCGACACCTCCTTGGGACAGATGGTCGCCCTCCCGGTGATAGAACAAATTGCCGGATTCGGGGATTACCGTGTCCTCCCCCTCTCTTCGGACTTCGGATAATCCTATGATATTCCAGCGCAATTTGTCTATCTCTTCTTCCAGCTCCAGGATCTTCTCGTCAGTCTTCAGGGTGCGTGCGTTACAATATTATATCTATATCTATATATTATATCTAGGCGACGGAGGAAATAAACCAGGAGATGGGCAGCAGCGTCTTACTAATAACAAATAAAAATAAAAAACCGCTGTTGCCAACCCACCTGCATGCCAACTATGGCAAATATCCCATCCCATGAGTCAATCCGTGGGGGAGGCCTATGTTCAGCAGCGGACTTTTATAGGCTGTAACGGTAACGATAAATGTCGAAACGAATAAATAAAAACAAACTAGTATGATTTAAATAAAATAAAAAAAAACATGAAGTCTAGTCTGTTTCCACTAACCACTCGGTACATATTTCAAGGTTCGATTTCACTTGGTTGCTTCTTTGGTTTTTGAATCAGCTTCTTCAGCAGTTTGCAGTTGCAGTTTCAATTAGCACACATGACACGGAAAGGTTTTTCTACTCGTTCTACAGTTACATAAGGAACTCATGACAAATGGATTTTTATCTAGTATACTTTTATATTTATATAAAACACGTTTACATAATATTGCACATATTTTACCAGATCTCTCACAAAAAAGGTTCTGCTCAAGTGTGTGTTTT